CCACCCAGAAAAAAAAACAAAATCCGAACTCGATTTTTTTCCCCCCCTTTTTCTATTGAAACTCACTTGTACGGACGAGACGGGATGAAAGCCACGAGGAACTCGTAGACCTCCTGACACTGCCGTGTTTCATGAAAACCAAACAACCTGCGACAGTGATATACGCGCCAAAGCCAACCAATATTATGAAGGTATACTGTGAGCCGGATACATAGGCAAACAGATGGACGCAGGTGTCAGAGTTGCCGGAGTCAGGTAATGGATGGAGGGGGGGTCTCAGTCTTTTCCTGAATTTTCGCCTATTTTCGGTAGTTCGTTTGTAATAAATTTGTATCTCTTAGCTCTTAGCTCTTAGCCAAAGCCCGGGTAGTGGCCCCGGTACTGCAAATTCTCATTTTTTTTCAAAATCCTATGTAATTTCTATATGGGACGCTGGGCCCGGTTCCCAGCACGTGTTGCTGCCCACGAATAGATCGGAGCTTTGTTCCCATGAAAAAAAAAAAAAAAAAAAAAAAAAAAAAAAAAAAAAAAAAAAAAAACCAGGTGTGCTTGTGAGCCAGATACATAGGCAAACAGGTGGATGCAGGTGTGTTTCCGACTCTTGCAGTGCCACTGCCTTCACTGCCTCCAGTGAATGATGTCATGGCTGAGATCGATCCTGATGACACGGCTGACAGACCACGATGATGGCATGACTGACGGCACACGACGACAGCCGAAGCGTTCTGGAAACAACGCATGCGGTTACACTACCCACCAAATGCACAAAGACAAAAAAAAATGGCAGTGTATCTTTCTTTCCATGTTCTAGCGCGGCATTCATTCTCATTTTGCACATTTGGTGAAGTCGAGCCAGGGCCAACGACTGACTGATGAGAATGACGACACCATTTACGGACGGCCGATTGTTCAGTGGTGTGGTGGCGGAATTTGTCGACAACCTGAGGTTCGGTCCTCGGTCCCATCAGCAGAGAGGATCGGGTTTGATTCCTGAATCTGGACGCGTTTTGCACAAAGATGCAGAAAATCAGATCAACAGCAACTCTCTGCCTCTCTCCAGAAAAAAAAAAAACCGTCCAGATTCGGAAATTATTTAATCCAATCGTCCGCACAGCAGATGAGACCAGGCCCCTGGGCTGAGGTCCCACTAGCAAAAAGGAGGATAGGATCGAGATCCTGAATCTGGATGTGTTTTATGCAGAGATGCAGAAAAGCAGTTCAATCTAAATTTCCTGCACATCTCCATAATCTCGTCCAGATTCAGGCATTCGATCCGATCCTCTTTGCTAGAGGGACCACGCCCCTGGAAGATGGTAGAAA